ACATTTGGGGGAAACAGCTACAACCCAGCTCCACCGAGACAACTGCCACCACCACCACCACCCGCTGCACAGCCACGTTTTCGCCAGCCCACTTCTGGCCCCTGTCATCACTGCCAGAAATGGGGACATTATAAAAGGGAATGTCCCCAGCTGAGGGATCGTTCCACCTGTATTCGCCCCGGCCCACCACCATCGCCAAGAGCAGCCGCAGCCCACCACTACCAAGATATAGTGGCCACACCATATGGGTCAGCCGTTCCCATAACAACCGTGGAACAGTGGGAAGTACTGCACGAGGTGGATCCAGTCCAGGCCAATGCTGATAACAGACAGCATCACAGGCAGACTGTATACCTGGAGGGTAAAGCGGTACAAGGACTACGTGACTCAGGGGCTACTATCACCCTGGTAAAGAGTCACCTGGTGTCGGATCAAGTGAAACTGAGTAAAACTGTGGCCGTCAGGGTAGCCGGGGGAGCAGTGTACCGGCTACCTACAGCAAGGGTACATTTACATCGGGGAGCGGGGCATGTGGAGGTGGGGTTGATGCCGCAGTTACCGGCGGAGGTATTGTTGGGGAACGATCTGGGGAGGCTCACGTCTGCTTTTGAGCCCCAGACACCCACCACAGGAGAAGCTCACCCTGTGGTCACCCATCAACAGGCCCGCACCCAGGACTACAACACACTTCCAGAGGTTCAGGTAAGAGACCCTTCCCCTTCCCTTGACTGTGTTCCCTGGGCCCCTCCTAACGAATTTGCAGGTGAGATAGTGACTGACCCCACCTTGCAGGTGTATAGGGACAAGGTGACAGCAGACCCTCCTGGGGGAGAGGGAGAGAGATTTGTCTGGGACAAGCAGCTTTTGTACAGGGAGACAGACAAGCAGATTGCTGGGTCAGACCCAATAGTGATGAGGCAGCTAGTGGTGCCGCAGTGGTACCGAGCAGAGCTACTCCGGATAGCGCACGATATCCCGCTATCCGGACATCTAAGGGTCAGTCGCACTAGGTACCGACTGACCCAAAGTTTCTTCCGGCCAGGGATCAGCCAGGAGGTACGCAGGTATTGCACCACCTGCGATACCTGCCAAAGGGTAAGGAAAAGGGGAGACCGGAGGAAGGCGAAACTACACCCCCTGCCCATAATTGAGGAACCTTTTAGCCAAATAGCGGTAGACTTGATAGGCCCCCTCAAGAAAGCTAGCCCATCAGGCAAAAGGTATATTTTAACGGTAGTAGACTATGCTACTAGATATCCAGAGGCAGTGGCTCTGACCAACATTCACGCTGAAACGGTCGCGGATGCCCTCATGCAGATATTCTCCCGGTTGGGATTACCCAGGGAGATTATCTCGGATCAGGGTACCCAATTTACCGCAGAATTCACGCAACACCTCTGGAGGATCTGTGGCATTAAGCCTATTATCAGTGCCCCTTACCACCCCCAGACTAATGGGCTCTGCGAACGGTTCAATGGTACATTGAAACAAATGCTCCGAACCTTCGCAGAGACCCACAAGGACTGGGAGCGGTTCCTACCGCATCTCCTATTCGCTTACCGGGAGGTGCCGCAGGAATCCACGGGGTTTTCCCCGTTTGAACTGCTATTTGGGAGGAGAGTCAGAGGCCCCTTAGATCTTATAAGAGAGCATTGGGAGGGAGATCGGAGCGCAGATGGCACTCCCATCATACCATATGTGTTGGCCCTCCGAGACCACCTGGAAGCATTAACTAGGACGGTAAGGGAAAACCTTCAGGCGGCACAGACCCGCCAGCGCATATGGTATGATCGGGGAGCCAGGGACCGTAGCTTTCAGGTCGGCAGAAAGTGCTAATTTTAAAGCCTGTCCGACATGACAAGCTACAGGCCGCCTGGCAGGGACCTTATAGGGTGGTGGAACAGAGATGTGACCCCACCTATATAATTGGCCCCTGCACAGGGACGGGAGGGCGACGCATGCTCCATGTGAACATGATGAAGCCCTACCAAGAGCGCTCCGAGGAGGTAACCGCCATATGTGCGCCCAATTCTGACGAGTTTGACAGATCTGCTGGGAGATGGGCAGCTGTCTGGGGATTTAGGGGAAGTCGCACTGGGAGACCGGCTGAGCCCGCAGGAGCATATCGAGGTACAGCGGCTGTTGGAGGAGAAACGAGACACGTTCTCTAATGTACCTGGGTACACCCCTCTGGCCACTCACCGGGTAGAGACCCCAGGGCAACTACCCATGCGCCAGACCCCCTACCGCATCCCGGAAGCGGTAAGGGAAAACATGCGCAAGGAGATCGATGAGATGCTCCAACTGGGGGTGATTGAGCCCTCAGATAGTCCCTGGGCTTCTCCGGTAGTGCTCGTACCGAAGCGGGACGGTACGACCCGACTTCTGCGTAGACTACCGGAGATTAAACGAGAAAACTGTGTCCGATGCATACCCTATGCCACGGATAGATGAGCTACTGGACAGAATGGCCAGGGGTCAATACCTCACTACCATTGACTTATGTAAGGGGTATTGGCAAATCCCCCTGGCCCCAGAGGCCATCCCGAAGTCGGCCTTTGTCACCCCATTTGGCTTGTACCAGTTTAAGGTCATGCCATTTGGGATGAAAAATGCCCCAGCTACTTTCCAGAGGATGGTAGACCGACTCCTGGATGGGTTCCAAGACTACACCTGTGCCTACCTGGACGATATTGCCATTTTTAGCAATATGTGGCAGGAGCACTTGGCCCATATAGGAGCGGTTCTAGACAGGATTAAGGAAGCTGGTTTGACATTGAAACCGGCCAAGTGCAGCATAGGGATGGCCGAGGTGCAGTACCTCGGACATAGAGTGGGGTGCGGCAAACAGAAGCCCAAACCAGCCAAAGTAGAAGCCGTGGCCCAGTGGCCCACCCCTAGGACTAAAACCCAGGTGTTAGCCTTTCTAGGGACCGCTGGGTATTACAGAAAGTTTGTCCCTAACTATAGCGCCCTCGCCAAGCCCCTCACTGACCTTACCCGGAAGAATTTGCCCCGCCAGGTGACCTGGACCCCGGAGTGTGAGCAGGCATTCCAACATCTGAAAAATGCACTGATAAATGCTCCTGTCTTGGCAGCTCCCAATCCAACTAAACGTTTTCTTGTTCACACAGACGCTTCTATGTTTGGATTGGGAGCAGTACTGAGCCAAGACGGGGCCAATGGCGGAGAAAACCCCGTGGCTTACATCAGTCGCAAGCTGTTACCCCGAGAAGTAAGCTACGCCGCCATCGAGAAGGAATGCCTGGCTGTGGTGTGGGCCTTAAAGAAACTGCAGCAGTCTCTATATGGACAGCCCTTTTCCTTACTCACGGATCACAACCCGCTGGTATGGCTAAACCGGGTGGCTGGGGACAATGCCAGGCTGCTGCGCTGGAGTTTGGCGTTACAGCCTTTTGACTTTAATATTCAGTACCGCCCGGGTAAACAGAATGGGAATGCCGACGGGTTGTCGAGACAAACTGACCTGGAAAAATAATCCGTGAGTCCCCGGACATCCCCAAGCCGATCCGTGTTGGATCAGACTGTGTATGCCGGCTTGTGGGCAAGGTGGAGCAGTGTAGCGGATGACACTGGGCTGTCCTGCAAATATCTTTGAAATAACTGCATTGGTGTGATCTGCTAGTTTTCTATGTGTTTTAAAAGAATTGTATTCCTCTGATTGTTCGGTAGAATCATTCGAATAAACTAAGGGAATGAAACTACTGAACAATCAGACCTCCTCTGTGTTAAGTGTGTCCTCAATCACCCGTTGCAACATTGTTGCGAACAGGTAATTGTGTGAGGAACTGACTCTGCTGGATTTTGAACCCTGGTTTACATGTTGCTAAACCTCTTCCTTACCAGTACACCGGCCTGCCTTTTGCAAATTTACTTGAGATCTGATACCATTGCTTGTAGAGTCAAGGTTATCAGTGACAACTCTCTTCATTTTTTTTTTTTCATGTTTAAATCTTTATTTCACTTTTTCAAATTACAGAGAAAACACAACACTGTGCATCAGTATAACAAAAAAAAAAATTTTTTTTTAAATTTATAAAAATAAAAATAGAAATAAAAAAAATATAAAAAATAAAAAAAATAATATACAGAAATAGAGAGATACCATTCACAATTCAAGATATTCTATTACTATCTTTTACAATCTCTTCTAACTTATTTTCGGCTTCAGTAACAGTGACAACTCTCTTCAGCTGTGTCTGGTCAGGTGTCTGGTTCTTGGCCTATAAAAGCCACTTCCTGTCTCTGTACCTTTGCCAGATTATTGTGGTTCCTGTACTCTCTAATCAAGCGTGTTCCTGTTTCTCCTTCCTGTTGCTGAATTTGGACTGTTTTGACTTTGCTGCTTCTTCCCACTGACCTCGGCTTGCCTCACTACGATTATCATCTTTCTGTTCCAGTCTCCCATCTCTGCTTAAGACCAGAAGGCCACTCAAGGCTCAGGGGCTCAACCACCTGGGTAACGAGTGGCTACCTCTGGCAGAAAACATTGCTGATCTGGCTACTGGACTCCAAAACTTTGTAACATCAATATCATTACAGAATAATCTGGCCCATTCATGGAGACCATCGGATCAGATTCTGCATTGGCCCAGCAGGTTGCTTTTAATGCAAGAACTATGCAGACCCAGGCACAGACCATTCAAGTGCTGCAGGATCAGGTAGCTGAACTGCAAAATGAAGTTCGATCAATGCATAGTGAGCTTACCAGCTACAGGGCACATGATGTTGCGGCTGCTGCTACTACTACTGTTACACCTGCACAAGATGCCCGCTTGCCTCTACCAGAAAAATTTGGAGGAGACCGCAAAAAATTCAGGGGTTTCCTAAATCAATGCCGTTTGCATTTCATGATGTTACCTAACCGTTTTCCATCTGAAAGAGAGAAGGTGGGATTTATTTTTTCCCTCTTCAAAGATGAAGCCCTGGCCTGGGGCTCCCCTTTTCTGGAACAGGACAGTCCAGTCTTGGGAAATTTAAAAGACTTTCTTGAGGCCATGTGCCTAGTTTTTGATGATCCCAATCGCTGTGCTACAGCAGAAGCCACTCTCCTTCATTTACATCAAGGGAGGCGCTCTGTGGCTGAATATGCTGCTGAATTCAGACAGTGGGTTACTGATACTACTTGGAACCCACTTCAGAAGAGGTCTCTCAGAAGCTATAAAAGATGAGCTAGCTCGTGTTGATCTTCCTGTTGAATTTGATGCATTTGTGCGGTTGGCTATCCGTATTGATCGGAGACTTTCAGAAAGAAGATTGGAAAGACAGGGCTCTTTTAAACCAAGTGCTACTCCTACTTTCTATTCAAGAATTTCTACTCCGACCCCACAAACACCTACAGACTCTGAACCTGAGGCTATGCAGGTAGATCTAATAAGAGGGCCATTATCCAATGAAGAAAAACAGTGGCGACGCACTCACAACTTATGCCTGTATTGTGGTAGTGCAGGGCATTATGCCATCAATTGCCCTAACAAGTCTAAAAGAACAATAGCTATGACTGCTGAGGGTGCACAGATTCAACACCAATCCCAGATTTCAGACCAACTGGATTCTGTCACACAACCCTTGTTTTCTCTGGCTCAGGGTGAAGAAGGTATGATGACTCAACATCCTCATTTGGTGGTGCCTATCACTTTGCAATATGGTGATAATAAAATTTCAACTACAGCTATGATAGATTCCGGAGCAGGCGGAAACTTTATGGACATTAAATTTGCAGCAGGAAATAAAATTCAGTCTATCCCTAAATCTTCACCTGTGTTAATGGAAACAGTAGACGGTTCTCCACTTACGTCAGGCCCGGTTACACATGAGACTGTGCCCTTAAAATTGATTCTGGAAGTGAATCACCATGAGTCTATATCTTTCCACCTAATTTCCTCAACACAGTTTCCAGTGATTTTGGGTATACCCTGGCTTGCTCTGCATAACCCACAGATTGATTGGAAGACTAGAACTTTGTCCTTTCCTTTAGAACACTGCTTAATGAATTGTCAACCCTCTAAGGCGACACCTGTTACCACAACAATTAATGAAATGGTTGCTACAAACTTAACTAAGCTTCCGCTACAATATCAGGATTTTGCAGATGTCTGTGATAAGAAGAATGCTGATCAGCTTCCACCTCACAGGCCTTATGATTGCCCCATAGAGCTGCTACCTGGAGCTGCTATCCCATTTGGCCGTATATACTCCCTTTCTGAGCCTGAATTGAAAGCACTTCGTGAATACATACAAGAAAATCTTGCCAAAGGCTTTATTCGACCATCCACTTCTCCAGCAGGAGCTCCTATATTCTTTGTAGAAAAGAAAGATGGCAGTCTACGGCCATGTGTCGATTACAGGGACATTAATAAAATCACTGTTAAAAACCGTTATCCCTTGCCTCTCATTCCTGAACTTCTGGAGAGACTTCGTTCAGCTAAAATATTTACGAAGCTTGATCTACGGGGGGCATATAATCTGGTTCGCATAAGACCAAATGATGAATGGAAAACAGCTTTCAGAACCAGGTACGGACATTACGAATATCTAGTAATGCCATTTGGGCTTTGTAATGCCCCTGCAACTTTTCAGCATCTAATCAATGATGTACTACGGGATCTCCTGGATCAGTTTGTTGTGGCATATTTGGATGATATCCTGATATTTTCTGATAATCTTGAAAATCACAGAAAACAGGTCTGCATTGTTCTTGAGCGCCTTCGTACCCACCACCTATACATTAAACTGGAAAAATTTGAGTTTGAACAAACAGAAATTCAGTTCCTGGGGTATGTAATAACTCCTAAAGGTTTAAGTATGGACGCAAGTAAAATTAAAGCTGTGCTGGACTGGCCCATCCCCAAGAATGAAAAAGATATACAGAGATTTGTGGGGTTTGCCAATTTTTACAGGCGTTTCATTAAGAATTTCTCTGCCGTTATTACACCGATCACTGAACTTACACGTAAAGGGACTCCTTTTCAGTGGTCCAATAAGGCTGACACTGCATTTTCCAGATTAAAGACTCTGTTTACATCTGCCCCTATCTTGGTACATCCTCAGCCAGAATTGCCATTTACTGTAGAGGTAGATGCTTCTGATTCAGCCGTTGGGGCTATACTGTCTCAAAGGACTGGACCTAAGATGTTGTTACATCCATGTGCCTTCTATTCCCGCCAGATGTTACCAGCAGAAAGAAATTATGACATCGGGAATAAAGAACTTTTGGCTATAAAAGCTGCCTTCACCGAATGGAGACATCTCTTGGAGGGAGCCACCCATCCAATTACTGTCCTCACAGATCACAAAAATCTGGAATGTATCCAATCCGCTAAGAGACTGTCAGCCAGACAAGCACGCTGGTCCCTATTTTTCTCAAGGTTTAATTTTTTTATTTCATACCGCCCTGGTTCCAGAAATGGCAAGGCGGATGCCTTGTCTAGGATAGCTGACCCCCTCCATACTACAGTAACCAAGGCCACCATCTTGCCGGAGAGCAGATTTTTAGGAGTTACCTTTCCTTCTGATCTAATGTCTCGCATTAAAAAGGGCTACTCTAAAGATCCAGTTTTTCGTGATCCTCCTCGTGATCTTCATATGACCATGCTTAATGGGTTTTGGATTTTTCAACAACGTCTGTTTGTTCCAGAATCAGTGCGACTGGACGTTTTACGCCTCTACCATGACTCTAAACCAGCAGGTCATCCAGGAATCCGAAAGACACAAGAACTACTTACCCGATCCTTTTGGTGGCCTAAATATTATGAGGATGTTAAGAAGTATGTGTCCTCTTGTGATGTATGTGCCAGACATAAGACTCCTCGCTCATCCCCTGTTGGCTTGCTTCAGCCTCTTCCGATTCCTCATCGTCCCTGGGGATCTATATCCATGGACTTTATTGTGGAACTACCTCCCTCTAAGGAACACACTACCATTCTTGTTGTTGTGGACCGGTTAACTAAGATGAGTCATTTCATACCAGCTCTTGGTCTCCCTTCAGCTAAACAGACTGCTGACCTTGTTATTCGGGAAATATTTCGCTTGCATGGAGTGCCTGATGAAGTAATTTCTGACAGGGGAGTGCAGTTTACATCTCATTTTTGGAAATATTTTTGTTCTATTCTAGGTATTAATGTAAATCTGTCTTCAGCTTTTCATCCACAAAGTAATGGACAGACTGAGCGAACCAACCAGACTTTAGAACAATATTTGCGGTGCTATATTAGTTACCTGCAGGATGACTGGCTGGATTTTCTACCCACGGCGGAGTTTGCCTATAACAATGCCCAACACTGCTCCACTTCTCTGAGCCCATTTTTTGCCAATTATGGTTACCATCCAACCTTTCTAGTGAGTCTCCCAATTACTACTCCCATTCCTGCAGTCACTGACCGGCTAACCGCCTTACGAGATTCCCAAGAACTGTTGAAGGAGACTCTTTCGGAGGCTCAGGAATGTTACAAAAGAGCTGCTGATAGGCACAGAAAGGAGGCCCCAGTTTATCATGTTGGTGACAAGGTTTGGCTGTCAACAAAGAATCTTAAGCTTAGGATTCCTTCTAATAAATTGGGTCAAAAGTTCATGGGACCTTTTAAGATAATCGCTCAGATCAATGCAGTCACCTTCCGTCTGCAACTTCCGGATTCCATGAAAATACATCCGGTGTTTCACGTGGCACTGCTTAAACCTTTTCATGAAAATACTTTCCCTGGTCGAGCCTTGCCTGCCCCACCACCAGTCCTCGTGGATGGTGAAGATGAATACGAGGTGGAAAAAATTCTTGACTCCAGGATCTTCCGCAACAAGCTTCAATATTTGGTTCATTGGAAAGGAGGATAGATCGTGGGAACCAGTGGACAATATTCATGCTCCTGATCTTCTTCAGTCTTTCCATGCACAGTACCCTGCTAAACCAGGAAATAGGGCATCCAGAGGCTGCGCCTGTAGAGGTGGAGGTAATGTGAGGAACTGACTCTGCTGGGTTTCAAACCCTGGTTTACATGGTGCTAAACCTCTTCCTTACCAGTACACCAGCCTGCCTTTTGCAAATTTACCTGAGATCTGATACCATTGCTTGTAGAGTCAAGGTTATCAGTGACAACTCTCTTCAGCTGTGTCTGGTCAGGTGTCTGGTTCTTGGCCTATAAAAGCCACTTCCTGTCTCTGTACCTTTGCCAGATTATTGTGGTTCCTGTACTCTCTAATCAAGCGTGTTCCTGTTTCTCCTTCCTGTTGCTGAATTTGGACTGTTTTGACTTTGCTGCTTCTCCTTCCCACTGACCTCGGCTTGCCTCACTACGATTATCATCTTTCTGTTCCAGTCTCCCATCTCTGCTTAAGACCAGAAGGCCACTCAAGGCTCAGGGGCTCAACCACCTGGGTAACGAGTGGCTACCTCTGGCAGAAAACATTGCTGATCTGGCTACTGGACTCCAAAACTTTGTAACATCAATATCATTACAAATTGACAAGTTAAGTAGCCGTCCTTTGTTCTCGGGGGTGGCCGCCATTCGACAAATGAACACGTGGCGGCAGCCATTTTAAAACTCCCGAACAGCTGTGTTTTGCCATCGAGTGTCTGGAACTCAAATCGGACACTCGACTAGGTGAACACCGCTGAAACCTCCACAAGCCCGGTCCGTTCAGTTCCTAACTACCGAACGGCCCCTTGTTCGGTAGATAGAAAGAACCGAACGAGGGGATTCAGGCAAACCCTCCCTAGCCTCTATAGCTAGAGGCTTTCGTGCAGTTTGTTCCCTTATTCCAGGACCGACCGCAGGGCCCATTCGCATGGAACTGTATTCGGCTATTTCAGTCAGTGCGGTCGGTCATTTTATTCCCTCCATAAATTTCCCGAAACCCTGGTCTGATCTGGGTGATTTTTGGATATGTTGTTCACCCAGATCAGGGCTATCAGGGGATGTAGGATTTAAAGGGGTACCCCTACGTTTAGGGGTACATCCAGAAACTGGGGGAATTGCTAGACTGGATAAGGGGATTATGATGCTGGCTGAGGGGAGGAGATGTGTGGGAGGTTACCAGGACAGGATTGGCTACTGTACTAATGAGTGTAAATCCCTCCCTTGCATGGGAGCATGCTTTAAAAGGCCACTGTGGATTAAAGCTTTCAGTTCTGCTCCTGAAACTGTGTGTCGTCAAGTTATTGGGATTGCTGTGGGGATATTGCTGTTATTTTACCTGCTGGAAACCTTGCCTGTGGATTTACTATTTACTTGTTCCTGAGCCTCACTTGGATCATAA